AAGACTGAGACTATATTATTGCCCTTATATAAATCAATGGTACGCCCTCATCTCGAATACTACGTACAGATGTGGTCTCATCATATCAAAAAAGATATACTGGCACTAGAAAAGGTTCAGAAAAGGGCAACTAAAATGATTAGGGGTTTGGAACGGGTCCCATATGAGGAGAGATTAAAGAGGCTAGGACAGCTTGGAAAAGAGGAGACTAAGGGGGGATATGATGGAGGTATATAAAATCATGAGTGATGTGGATAAGGAAAAGTTATTTACTTATTCCCATAATACAAGAACTAGGGGTCACCAAATGAAATTAATAGGCAGCAGGTTTAAAACAAATACAAGGAAGCGCACAGCCAACTTGTGGAACTCCTTACCTGAGGAGGTTGTGAAGGTCCCTAGCCTCTGTTTGTCAGAGGATGGAGATGGATGGCAGGAGAGAGATCACTTGATTATTGCCTTTTAGGACCACTCCCTCTGGGGCACCTGGCATTGGCCACTGTCGGTAGACAGGATACTGGGCTAGATGGACCTTTGGTCTGACCCAGTACGGCCGTTCTTATGTTCTAAATATTACAAGGTCATTTGATGCTAAACTAATGACTAGTGTAAGTAGCCATTTAATTATAGAAAATGTATATTAATAGGAAATTGATTAATTACTGGCAGTGCTCATGCTAGCCCTAAACCAACTCCAAAAGGCAAGAATCATCTCTCCAAAAATTAAGATTAATTATTTAAGCTAAAGGCTTTGTAAGATTATTTAGTTTTAAGACTGTTCTGAGAATTAAGAACTTTTCTCTAAAGAACAGGACTGTTTGGACTCTTTGAAAACAGAATTTCATTTCCTATCAAACTCTAATAAATTGAAAGAATATCTTGGAGAATGGATGAACAAAAGAACTTTCAAAGTTATTTTTAGCTCTTTATCTCATGCTTTCCTGCCCCCCAAGAAAAAACAAAAGGCAATTAAAGAAATGTTGCATATTCATTAAACAAACTTCTTATTCAGAAATCACCTAAGCCAACCCTGAAGGCACAAAGCCAATGAAACCAAGGGTGACAGAAACCAATTCTGAATCTAAACAAGCCGGAAGGAGGTGTGTTTTTTTTAATTTCATGACACTAGGAAGGAGAGGGCATAAAAACTCTGAAGTGATCGCTGCTTCCCTCCCACCCTCTACCTTGCTTAAACACAGCACTCTAGAAGCAAGCTGCCTCAAACAGCTAAGAAAACAGAAGTCTCCAGAAGAAACCACCCCAAGTAAAACCTCCCCTAAGCTTCAACATGGATTGGTGAGAGAAAATTAACTAACACTGCCAGGGAATTAGGTTTAAAACTCCTGTAATGATTTTATTGGAATATTGAAAGGCTGTTGTAACTTAATTTACTAAATGTTTCTGCTGTTAATCACCAAGTGGTCAGACCATGTATTCCTGGAGAGGAGACAGAGCTAAACTCCGGGAAACAGAAAGATAGTAGGATTTTACTTGGATTTAGGATTATTATTATTCATAATTAGCCTGTTTTTTAAAACAGTTCTGGAAATGGCTTTTCCTAAGAAACTGGTTTAAATATTTTCTTTGATTCCATTGGATTTAGTTAAGGTAGCCAGGCAAAGTGGGCAATCAACTGTTTAGATTATTATTAATAATAAACAGACTTTACTTGCCCTTAAATAAATTGTTTTGCCCATACTTAAAGGAGTTTCAATTGTCTGATAAGATTCTAAAACTGAATTCACAATAATTTGGGAAACAATATACTTTAGTCTTGATTTACCAAGAGAAAAATGCTCCCCACCTCAAGGCAGTTCACTCTCTCAGGGGTATAATCCCCCGTTAAAAGCTGTCTCCATAGAGACACGTACAGAAGAGATTGTAATGTAAGTAACCAGTTTATCGTTTGTGTTCAGTCATTTGCATTTGTTTAATGTTTTCTTTCTTTAATAATAAAATAGCCGTGGTTAGTAATTGTGATTTGTTGCTTGGTTTTGATCATGGTGTCCTCTGAGGTATGTAGAAAATCCCCGTGACTAAATAAAATTATTTGGCATCCCTCAATTTTAAACTAGCCCTTTCAACCCCATTGCTCCCTATACAATACATGGGGAGAGATAGGTGCCCAAAAGTGCAATCCACAAAAGCCAGCATGTTAGGCAGGGAGTCGCCTAAGCTAGGCAAAGGGAGATGCCAACAAGCCCTGCCTCTGACAGAGTTGGGTACCTAAATCTAGGCTGAGAGGATGAGCCTAATCCTGCTTAATGATGCACCACTGGGAATCTGCCATCTGCAGTTAAGGCAGCTTAGGCATCTAAGCTCTTTCTTGTAAGAGTGAGTTAGGCACCTTGCCCCATTCCATGCAAAGTGGCCAGTAGTGGTGCCCTCCTTAACTTTTAGCCCAGTGGTTAGATCACTCACCAGGGATGTGGGAGAGCCAGGTTCAATTCCCCCCTGCTTGATGGGGAGAGAGGATTTGAACATGGATCTCCCACCTCTACAAGGGAGTGCTCTAACTATTGAGCTATGATATGGGCTCTGTCAGTGTTTCCTGTTGAAGCTGTTCTACTTTGTATAACTAATTAGAGAGCCATTGAAGCACAGGGACTGCACCCTGTGTCTCCCACATCCCAGGTGGGAGCCTTAACCATCAGGCCATAGAGTGATTCTTTTCTCTGGCTATTGAAGTATTCATCCAAAGTGGAACAACTTCAACAGGAGTGACAGAGGGAACCTCACATGAGAATATCACATATCCCAAAGGTTATGGCACTCTCCTGAGAGGTGGCAAGACTCCTTTCTCCCCATCAGACAGAGGGGAGAATTAAACCTGGCTTTCCCATATGCCAGGTGAGTGCTCGAACCATAAGGCTAAAAGTTATAAGGTGGGCACCATCACCACCATCTCTTCCACAGGCAGATTTTGAATGGAGTCTGAGGCAGTAGGCAGCCTCTGAGCATGCCTACTAGATCAGGCCCGGCAGGTGAGAGAGATGCTTCTCTGCCTATCTTCCCCCAGTTTGTGGATTGTGCTGGGTCTAAGGCAGAAGATAGGCATCTGGGTACCTAGAGAGAGGCAGCAGTGCACATGACCAGAGTCAGAAACATGGGCACTTAAGGAACTTATACCTGAAAATTTAGCTGCTGAGTGAGTTTAGGTGCCTACAAGATGAGACAGCAGCTGAACAGAAGTTCTGTAAACCACAGTGAAGCCTAAAACTGGGACGTAGGCGCCTAAGTACCTTTGTGGATCTGGGCCTGAATGATTTCCATATCAAATGTGCTCAGCTTACAGGGACACAAACCAGCTAGCCCTGCAAACACAAGCAATGGAAAACTTTTCAGAAGTGCCTACATGTCTCTTAAGCACTTTTGAAAATGTTGCTGTTTGCAGGGGTCAAGCCAGTCTTGTTCTTACAAGTTTCTCTACCCACTATGACAGTGTGACTGAATCCTGAACTGGAGAGACAGAGGGGCTCTCATCTAAGAATGAAATGGTAGTTTGTCTCCTTAGATATGTAGCCTTCAATCTCTCCACTGAAACTGCTATGAAGAATGATAATTAGTGTTGATTTTGACGATCATTCAGACATGTAGATTGCTGTCTCTTGATATTTGGACCAAGACCATCCATTTGTCACACTTCGACAAACAACGAAAGATGTAGCTTTTTACTAACATAATGGAAAAGGAAAATAGTTGGTGACAGAGATAATAGTTAGTCTCTTTTAGGGCCCAATCCTCAACCGTGGAACCAGTTCTCACTTATATTAATCCTTGATTTCAATGGACCTATTCAGGTGATTTAAGACTATGCATGTGAGTGAGGGCTGAAGGATCCAGTCTTAAGGCCTTTGCTTGTTAAGTGATCAGTTTAACTTGGCACTCATCGTGTGTATCACTGTGTCGTGATCACTGGGTCCATAATCACTGACAAAGCCTATTTAGGAGGGGTTGTCTTCCCTGATCAAGGAAAATAGCCAAACACGTCCTTTTAAAAAACAAAATGTTATACTTTAGAGATTACCACCCAATCTCATTGCTCAGATGTTTAACTCTTCTCATTTTCATGGAGAGAAAAAATCCAAAAAGCAAGAAAGGATTTTTAATATGGGATTGCAAAGCAGTTTTTATTTCTCACAAGCTCTTGTTTCTGCATAATAATCTCCATGACAAACTCTGCCTTATGCTGCTCCTATTGATGTACATGGAAGAACTGCCATTAATTTCAATGGGAGAAGCAGCTACTCTATATTTGCTGCTGGTTTGGGGGGGCAGGAGAGGGGGGGAAAATCACATTTTCTCATGCGTTTTAAATCAAATTTCTATGCCCCACTCTCCTGCAGCCTCTGTCTGGAGGCACAGAGACCTCGCAGTAGCTTAATTTATTATATCACTGTCATTGTCATGGCAACAAATTACAATGTCAGAGTACCAAGGACTGTATTGTTACAGCTCACCAGCAGAGGAAAAATGTTACTAAAATTTCACTGAAGGCATATGACAAAATATGAGGAATGGCAGAAAGAAAAACGCATAAGTCTGTCTCTGGGCATATGGTGCCTGTCCCTCCCTCATCTGTTCAAGTAACCTTTGGCTTTTGGGAAGCCTTGCTAAAAGTAATTGTAATATATCTAAGACTTTCTCTTTGGGAAATATCCCAGCATGCTGCCCCTAAGGAGCTGGTTCTGGGAAAGGCCAGAAAACTTTTTTTACATGGGTGTCAGCTTGTAGCTAGTGTTTTCACATCCTTGTTTTCCAAATCCATCATGGATCCTGTAGGGAATCTAGCTTCAACCTTAAGTACTATATGGAACAGTTAGGGTCCATAGAGAAGGAAACTAACACAGAATTAATATTTCTTATGACAGCAGTATCCCAACTACCAGTGCTGTGTGGATTGCTTTTAGGAGATGTCTTAAGAAACTGAAGAAAATTCCTATCACATGTATATAAACTGTGTGTGTCTGTACAATTATGTATAACTTTGGGGAAATAGTCCCATGTTTTAACACTGCAACAACACCTGTAATCTCTGAAGCAGCCTCCAAAGAACAGTTTGCATCACACTGAGTGCAGGGGTTGGTGTGTAAATTCCAAGGCAAGGATTGTCTACATGGAGAGTTATTCCAGAATGGCTGTTCCTAATTAACTATTCCTGATTATCTCCCTGTGTGGACATTCTTATTCTGGGATAAAAGTGCCTTATTCTGAATGAATTTAATCCATTTTGGAAGTAGATTAAGCTAATTCAGGACAATGTACTCTTATTTTGGAATAAGAACATGTACACAGGGAGCTAATCAAGGGTGACTATTCTGCTTTAATGTCACACCCTACTTAATTCCAAATTAATTCCCTGTGTAGACAAATCCTTAGTTTTTGAAGGAGTGTTATACTTTTGATAACAGCTTTTCTTTTCCTTCTGTGCTGAATAGACTGGCAGGTGAAATTGTGAAGGGTCGATGGCCCAGAAGAGGATCTGTAAAATGAGGTAATTAGAATTTAAGTGTGGTTTTTCCTGTGGAGAGGACTTTCTCTAAAATTTTTGTAAGTCTCCCTTTCTCCTGATTGTTTGAATGAGTCAACATTTGCATAGCTGGTTCTGGGGATGAAGTTGTCAGAGTAAACATTCTCCAGCTGTGAGGATAGATATTCTGCAACTATTTCAATTGACAACTGTAGACTTACATTTATTAACTGAACAGATAGAAAAATAATAATCCTTCTTTATTTCAAGATTAACTTCCCCTCCTCCACATCAGATCTAAAGAAAATTCTGAGCTTTATAGTTGGAAAGAGAGCCATGGCAGGTTAGCTGAAGGTCCTTGCAAAACCACAGCTCACTTTAGCTAGAGATTGTAAATAATGGGAGTGATTCCCAGTGGCTAATCTTTAATTTAGTTAGAGATGGTTTCCAACTCCAGTTGGTTATAAAATAGTTCCGTATTCTTTGTCAGTCTTACCTGTGCTATTTTTCTGAATGATGGATAGAGGAAACAGTTTCAGTGCTGAGTCTTTAATGCAGGAGTTGGAAGGAGTAGTACAAAGAAGTGCGCTCCAAATGAAAAGTATACATTGATTGTGTTGTTTCATACTGCAACGACAACGCCCACATTCTTGTTGCCTTCCCAGAAATCAAACGAGGGAATAGGATTTATTATAATTGTTTGTTTGCTAAGCATACGCAAAGTTGCGCTTTGCTTTGTACATGGCACAAAATGAACACTGTCCCTGACCTGGAGTCCCTACCCTTATGGCTAATGGAAATAGAGAAGGCAGTGTATATTTTTGGGCTAAAAATGTGAAGGAAATTAGTTTGCATACATAGGAAAAACTCCAAGAGAGAAAAGTATCATCCTCTACATGGGATGGAGCTGAAGAGCTGACAAAACACCACTCTTCATTCTTAAGAGAAGGGTCATGAAGGACAGCTTGACGCTACAGAGAGAAACAACAATGCTTTTAAGATTTTTCCTAGAAGTCTAATTTGGTGCTTGCAATATGTGCACTACAGTATTTCAGCAAGCAAGGGGCATTATATCCAGTTATAATTTAGTACTGTGATTGACAGTTTCTTTTCTTTTAATGTTTTCCCCCTTTGTAAAGGGATGTGTTTTGGAGGCTATTAAATGGTTATCTGGTTACTTTTTGAGAAGGATTTTGTGTTCCGGTTGCGAGGGTGGGGTGGGATTATCACATTTCCTCATTTCTGAGGAAGATGACATGATGTGTCTAACAGGACACCCTCCTCATTGGTCTTGGATCTACTTCCACAAAGAGGATGGAATTTGGTGGATTTATACATCTGTGAAATCAGTGTGAGAGAAGAGTTGGGCTGAGGGCAAATATTTGTTGAAGCAGACTGGCAACATGACTATAGTATAAAAGGTGGCTGTGCAGCTGGTGATCTCAATCAGGAAATTATATTCTATATCTAAATTTCCACTGCAGTTTCAATGGCATGTAATATTTTTCTTAATATCCTGCTCTAAACTATTTTGTAACATTACCGTGAGCTGTGAAACAACTGCCAGATCCTGCCCCAGAGCGGATTGTGTTTTAGTGGTAGAAAAGTGATTCTTGCCCATCTAAAGCATCCACAGTGCTATGTAAGGTCCAAAGGTCAGGTCCTCAGCTGGTGTAAATCAGCGTTCTTCCATTAAAATCTATGGAACTGTGCCAGAATACATCATCTGAGGATCTGACTTTTATTATTACGAATGGTTAGTCTCTCACACACCACACACACAAATTGTTCCCAGAAGTGAGTCTACAATAGCTATGGGTCTTTCAGTCTCTCCCTTCTTCTACAAAGCCCAAATATACATGTGACAGTCTATACTATTATGGTCATCCCTTTTACAAGTCTATGATACATATTTTGTACAAAATATGCCTTATTGAAGTATCATTTGAAAAATCAGAATCTGCTGAATATCATTATCCTGTTAAAATATGTGTAGCAACACTGTATGTGAAGTTATAAGATTCTACTGTATGATTATTACTGAAATATGTTGTAATTCTGCATGATACCCACAAACCAGTTTTTCAGAGACCAAGACATACTAGCATCCCAGACAGGTGTTAACAGGCCATTACCTATTTAAGTGGCCATCCTCCAGCAGGGAGAAGGTGTAAACAAGAAATTTACATTTAATCACAGGGGCAGTTCAAACCTCACATTCACAATGGACTGTGTGTCACCATGACTCAGCAAGGATGTTTCTAGCACAAGGAATTGAATTATAAAGAGGGAGGAAAACATTTGATTTCCCTTCTCTCTGCTCATGACATCAAGGACTCTGAAAAAACTTGAACTAAGGGGAGTGGTGCCAGGCTGAAAGGAGAGCCAGCCTATGAAATTTACAGCAGCATATGGTGAGACAAAACCTTTGCTTTTAAGTTCACTTAGCTTGTTACATTAGGTATTAGCATGTGTATTACTCTTTTTTTTAATTTTCTTTTGTAACCAAAACTGACTTTCATGCATCTCTTGTAATCACTTAAAATCTATCTTTCTGTACACTTATCTTATTGTTTTATCTTAACCAGTGTATTTGGATTAAAGTGTGTGAGGAAACTCCATTTGGGATAACAAATCTAGTGCATTATCATTTTCCTCTAAATGGACTTTTTATGAGCTTGCATTGTACTGTCCAGCACACTACTGAACAAGACACACATTTCTGGGGGAACAAGGCTGGAACTATGAATTTGTGGGTGTCATTTTGTATGTAATTCATGAGTGACTGGTCAGAGATCTTATGTTTTTAGCTGGGCGTTAATTTGCATGCTGAAAGCTGAGCAAGCCAGGAATGGCTATTCTGACAGCATAGCAGTGTAAAAGGCACCTCAGCCTAGAGAATTAAGGGGGCATAGCTGTTCAACAGTCCAGATTGTACCCTGAGTAATGTCACAATACACTGCATTCCTAACACTCAGCACTGCTCACTTCCAAAATTGGCACTGGAGGACCTGATAAGATCATCTTCAGGCTGCTGCAGTTGATACATTTGATTTACTTGTCCACTTTTTCAATTACTTTTTGTTTCAGTGGCATATTTTACAGTGAAGCATTGTGCTGTGTCTTCACAACCTCTTGTCCCTTTCTGAGTTGGGCAAACTTATGGGGGGAAATAGTGACTACTACAGTATGTAGGGAGAAAGGGGGGGTTCTGAATAATTGAAGTGCAGCATCTACTTGGCTACTGTACATGTAATGCTAACCAGACATTAAAGGGGCATACTTATTTTATGGAATGAGTTTTTACATGGACAGACTGATTCAGAATTTTAACAAAAGCTGAACACCTGTACTGAGTAAAGTTGCTGTGGCATAAAATTGAGCTGAACTGCTGTGCCTGAACACTGTAAATAGAAGTTAAATCCTTGTGAAATGGCCCTACACGTGTGATGCTAAAAGCTGGGCTCTCAATTTTCAACTCTACTTTTTGATATGAATTTTTCAGAAAATGTTATAGTATATTCAGGTATTTATTCCCAAGGAAGAAGCCTTGTTTTCCCTCAGGTCCCCTGCTGGATTCTGTAAGTGTTCGGGCCACAGTTTCCATCAGAATGTACCAGAAGCATCTCTATGGATGAGTACATTTCCTGGATGTACTGGGACTGCATGGAAAATATTAAGCACCCTAGGGAGGGAGAAAAATGGAACTCCCTCCAACCCAATGTAAAAGAGAGGATTGGTAGGCCAGAAGGAACCATTGTGGTCATCTAGTCTGACCTCCTGTAAACACAGGCCATAGAACACCCCAAAAATAATTCCTAGAGCAGATCTGTTAGAGAAACATCCAAGAGCACAATGGGCTCTGTATTAGGGTGCACTTCACCATTTTGTAAAAGATCCTGGATAAAATCAGACTCCATCTTTCAATAAGTGTCAGAACCCATCCCTAGCTTTGAATGCCACTGAGATACAGGAACACTTTTAGTTATTCCATTCAATTCATTAAAGTGGAATTAAAATAAGCTGGAAAAGGTCATTTTATTTCCATATGACTGACAGATCATCTGGGTAAGATAACTACCCTTTCGGGGAATCTCTCTCTCTCTGTGTGTGTGTGTGTGTGTGTGTGTGTGTGTGTGTGTGTGTGTGTGTGTGTAGTAAGTAAAATAATTGGGCCCCATTGTTCTTTG